TATAAACGACCTAATTTATACGAGGCTTAAAAAAAGTTCAATTTAATGTACTCCGTATATGTGAAAACTATGAGGAAAACACAAAATTTATTTTTTCCTATACGGAATTTAATTAAATACATACATATACATAATTTAATAACTATATGTAAGTCTAATTTGAAAAATCGAATAATTCGAATCGATTTTTAATACTTACGATTCTTTCTTTTATATTTAAATTTATTACAATTTTTCTCTACTTTTATATTATTAGTATGTATACAATTAATGTGCGCTGCTCTCTTTTATAAAGAGAAGATAATAAATTTGTGAATAAATTAAATTGTAATAAAAAAATATACATATATATATATATATATATATATATATATTATAATTCCAATGAAAATAGTGAAATTAAAATGAAAATTCATCATAATATTTAAAATGGTAATATCTTAATAAAAATTGAAAGTCTTAACATTTTTATTTTAAACTTTGTGTATACATTTGTATATTGTATGTATGTGTACGTATGTACATAAAACCCAATATAAAAATGGAAGATTTATGGTCAGTTTTACAATATTTCTGTTTTTATTTAAATATCTTTCTGGAAACGATTTATTATAACCATTTAAATCCCTTCAATTCCAAAGATATCTTCACATACGTATACATATATGTCTATATGTTATATGTATTACAAATATAACTGGCATTCAGCTATAAAGATTTCCTATAAGTTAATAAAATTACAGTGAACTCGCAATAAAATGAATTAATTAATTTGGTTCATATAACCGAATTATGGTTAATAAGTATAACAGTATAGTTAATAGCACAAAAAAGAAGCGGGCGTATAACGATACTAGTGAATCTGACCAGTGGTCTAATAGTTATGGATATCGATCCTTTAACCGAAAAATTTTGGGTTCAATCACTTGTCCGGTCACTATAAAAATTATATTTAATATTATATTAGCTTAATATAGCAATATTATAAAATAAAATGTTAATTTGTTTCTCATATACCCACTAATATTCGAAATTGATTGCCACTAATAATATTTAATTTAAAGAAAAAACTTAGGTAGACTATGGCCGCCCTAGTTATTATCAATAATTTGTGGATCTAAAACCGAACTTTAAAAAAAAAGGCAAGTTAAAAGTCATAATGCTCCCTACGGGTGGACAAAAAGTTTTTAATTGGAAAAAATTGGTATTATTCATAATAGCGATTCTACTGTATATTAATAAATATAGAATAATAAGTATAAGGCTTTTAACCTGTAAACGATAACAGATCTTTTTATAGTGTGTGAAAAATTTCAGTTAATATAGAGGTAATTATAATTATATTATAATATGTAACATAAAATTTTACACCGTTAATGGGATTGAAGTTTATATTAAAATTCTTATATATAAATTTTTTAATGGATTTAACTTGAAAAGTTGATGGGCCCAATAAACTAATGGATTTTATTTGAAATGTATACTCTTTTATATGGGGCACAACACATTAAATCTTTTAGGTCGCAGTGTATTATCGCCCAATTTCACGCCCCAATATGCAATGTGCTCTTTTACATATATGTATATACATGGCTGACGAAATTAAAAGTGTTATACTGGTAATTTGGCGAGTGTTATATGAAAATTTCCTTATAAAATTTTAGAAAATAGAATAAAAAAGTAAATTGCATAAAAGTTTTATTACAAAAAAATGATAAAAAAAATTAATCTCCGAGACGGTCCACAATTTTTTTTAATTTTAGAACAATTCATTTGAAATTAAACTGAGAGAGAAAGAGAAAAATTAATATTTCTCTTGAAACATTAATCTGCGTGTCTTTAACATCTTGCTTTAACATAACCTTTACATAATATTAATTAAATTCAAATGGACAAACAATTTTTATTTCTAGGTATAGCTCTACTAGTTTATTACAATTGTAAGGAAAATATAAGAACAAAATTTATAATATAGAAATTTTCATTGATTTTCAAAAATTGAAATGACACAAAACTTAATTCAATAAAGATAAGAAATCATATAATAAAATAAAGATGTTAAAAATTCTGATTCTTTTGCCCACATAAATTATTTTTCATTGATCTCATAATGCCATAGACGTAGCAAGTATAGGGAAGATGCATTAGTATAGTTAGTAGTCGGTATATGTATATAATAGGTAGGTATATATTGGCTGATACAACGTGGGTATAACAAGACATAAAAAATGTACATTTTCATAATGTTAATATTAATGACTCTAGTAGTTGATTATATAAATATATATATAATATAAATTGATAAAGTACATAAAGTAGTTAATCCACTTTGAAAAGAAAACAGCGCTTATATAAGTCGTTTATGTTATAAAAGATTTCAAATAAATTTAAAACATGAATATGAAAAATAATTTCAAAATAATGCATAATATGCTAATTGTATGTATGTATATGTGTATAATGCAGTGATGAAATTTTGAATTCAACAAAATTTTTTCATATATAAAACATAAATTTAAAGTAACATAAAAAATCAATAAAATTCACTGTGATATTAATTAATTTTGTGTGAACACTGAAGTGTAATAAATTATCCACACTGTCTGTATATTCAAACTCAAATGTACATATGTATAAGAAATATAAAATATTTTATTTTTATTTTTATTAAAATGTTTAAGATGCATTCGTCGATGGATTTTATCTAGATTTTATATATCAATTTAAATTGAAAATATAAGAGAAAATAAAGAAATTTTACTTTTTCATAGAAAATTTCTACATACTCTATAAGAATTATAAATGAATGTAAAAATACACTAATAAAAGTGAAACAAGAATCGACAACAAACACACAGCAATTTAAAACCTTAAAACATAAAAAAATGACTTACGCCATTTTTGATTTAACTGTGCTTAACTGATTTAAATGCATATTATGAAGGTTGTGTCGTACCTAAATGCGCATACAGATTACCACTGGTTAGACCTTCATGAGTAAAGAAAACCCATTCTGGAAACCCTAAACGGGAAGTATACCCTTATAGTAATCTTCCATTTAGAGAATTAGTTTTGAAATATTGAAGATTACTTATACTGCTATAGAACATTGCAGAGCTACAAATTCAAATTCCTTTTTATGATCAGAGTATGCTCATAATCGCGATATATCCATACTTGCTCGAAAAACTTTTACCAAGAAACCCAAATTGCAGATCACCTACAAAATTTTTTCATTAGATCATCAATTCGTCACATTCAAAATGAAGTATAAAAGTGTGAAATGCTTCTTTCGACATTTTTGCATCTTTCTCTTCTTCATTAACAAATCATTAAAAAACAAAGGCTAATGGATGCATATATACTATCTATATAATCACAATAATAAATAGCAAAAAATTTTATTTATTGATAGAAAATAACAGATTTTAATATCGTTTTAAGTTTTTATAATGCCTCTAAACGAAATTTTAATTTGCATTCCCAAATATCGTATATAAACTGCAAAATTTAAAAAAGCCTTGAGATATAGATACATAAAATTGATAATAACATACACTTTTCTTATTTCAATTGAAAAACTAACATGATGACACTTAATTAAATAAAAAACAGATTCAATTTTTATGACTCTCGTTGTTCATTCATTCCCTCTAAAGGTATTATTAAGTAAACTAATTATTATTTGAATAAACAAGAATTGCAAGATAATAAAATTTTATGTTCGTGCTTTTTTTCTAACCCTTAAGTGCAAGAATTTAAAGGATACTGAACAATAAAAAAACTTCATTGGTTTGATTAAGCGAATAATGTTACACGATGTAGAATTTTATGTAAAATTAACCATACGGCTTATTAACACTTTATCCACCGGTTGTGGTTGTGGCTGCCACTCAGTAAGTATCGGCTAAGTCGCGCCCGAATTTACTCCCAGTACCGGCTAAATTTTAATGCATTGTGTTATGCTTATTCCTTTTGTTATAAAATGTTATAAAAAGAGCAACCCACTGACAAAAACCGTCGATAACCAAAAGCCGATTAATAGGCTACCGGTCAATAAGCGCTGGCGAACGAAAAGCCGATAAATAGGCTACCGGTCGATGAGCGTAAGGAATCGAAGAGCCGTTAAATAGGCTACCGGTCGATAAGGTGTTAAGAAAAACAAGATGTGGCCACAGATTGATATCAAATTCCTATATGCTTACATTTTTGATAAAAGTAAGCGAGAGGGTCACATGTTCTACTATTTATTTTCTTGTACTATTTTATTTTTTATTATATTACCATAGAACCCTCCGTCTTATTCTTTATGTTCAACAAATATTTACTCTCACGGCAACAGATTTAAGATCTTTCGCACCTCACAAATTACTCGAGTACTTTTAGAGCGACCGGTTTCGAGCGATTGCTGTAGAGTATAGGACATACCACCCCATATCACTGAGATGTGGAGGTGTGTCCTTATACATTGTCACGGTGCACTGTTACCCCCGTTTTACAAATCAACAAATTCTCTACAAATGTGTGGTTAAAATAAATTATTTTTTCGACTAATATAAGTACATAAATATACAAAAATTTTTTGCTTAGCACTTTAATCGCCAAATGAAATTCCAAAATTTGATTAAAGGTAACTGAAATAGTAAATAGTGTCTCTTTGCTATTATAGGACAGGATGCAATAACATTTGTATCTTCATTGAAAACTTTTCCCTTAAAATCTATAAGTATGTACAACAAATTCAATAAAAATTTTTGCTTAATACGTTAGCGTTAATTTTTTATGTTTAAAAATTTTAACTCTCAATACTGTTAAACTCTCAAAACTCAAATGCAATTGAAAATAATAAACTAGAAATGTAAGTAAGAATAAAAATTACAACTTAATTTAACAAATTATTAATTTGATTTGTATCGTCCTTCCTCATATACATTTCTGCACAAAGTATAATAATAATTTATGCATCTATTAATTATTTATTTTTTTTTGTTTTGTTTCAGTTCTGAATATATTACAGAGTCCAATAGTTGCACTCAAATGTTATATATGTGGTGATCCTGACAATGTTTTATTAAATTTTAATATAACTCCACAATTAAATCCAATATCATGTGATGAATTAAATCGTCTCAGAAATGATACGATAGGAATATCAACTACAACAACTACTACAACAGGAATAAAATCAACAACAAAACTAACTAGTCAAGATCAAATGAAATTATTAGAAAAATTCACAATGAAATGCCCGGAAGATTATCAAGGTTGTATAACACAAATTCAAGGTAAGATTTATAAAAATTCCTATAGTGCTATTATGTACGTACAATAATAAATGTACAGGTGTAAATAGAATTATAAAATAAATATTAAAAATTTATATATTAATATTGATGTTAATAAAAAGAAGAAGAAGAGAAAAAAATATAGAAATAGAAAGCGATTCTTAATTATAATTAATTTTTATTCTTTTCTTTTATGCTATTCTCAATTATTATACAATATTTTCCAATTAAAGCTTTAGAGATTACATTTTTTGTTATCAGATGAAAAAAGAATTTATTAAGTATTAAAGCAGGTGCCCTTAATCCCATTTTATATATAATATAGGTAATAATTGTTATATAATTATAGAAAAAAAAGAAAGTAAAATTGAAATTATACCACTATACACCAATTTGGTATATTTGGCAAATATAAAATAAAAATATGGTGTAATGAAAACAAATTGGTTTGGTCAAAATGAAATATCAAGCAAATGAAGACATATTAGTTTAGCAGATCTTCAAACACCGCCTTTTTATGACAAAAATAACACCAACATGAAATATTTAAACCCTTATTTAAATGAATTCCGACTACGTTAAATATATTGCCTGTTGAGCGCCGCTTTCTGTAATCAATTTCATTTTAATTCGAAACCCAATCAGTAGAGAAAAAAATTATTTTCTATTCTATTTATTGTTTATTTATTAATAAAAAAATTTACTAAGACCAAATATTCTATATAATTTTTCATTTTATATATTTTAGATGGAAAAGTTACAAGATCTTGTGATGTAATGCCAATTGATGATTGTGAAACAGCAAATGGTGTAACATATTGTTATTGTTCATATGATCTATGTAATATTGATGATGAAACAAAATCAAATTCAGTTAGTACAAGAACACAAACATCATTTAAAAGTTTAATTATTGAAAAATCATCATATATATCACCATATTTCGATGATGAAGATTATTCGGAAATGTCTGGTGATAAAAATTTAGATATAAAAGAAATTGAATCAGAAAATTCATTTGATACAACAGTAAGTAATTCAGGTTCAATTGATTTAAATCGTATTGCAAAAGAGCATAATGAAAAAAAATCAACAATATTAACAGTTATATCAACAACATTACCAACAAAAAATATAACAACAACAACAACAAATATAAATTCACCACAATTAAATATAATAGTAAGAAATATAACAACAATAAATTCAAATATTAATGAAGACAACAAAACAAAAGCATTTAGTTCAACAACACACAGTTCAACGACAACAATACCAACAACATCAACAACAACAACAACTTCCAATAATAATAATAATTCAATTTATATGAAAGAGAATTCATGGCAAACTTTTCGAATTAAAACTTATGATAATCAAGAAAATAATAATAATCAACAATCAACAACAAAACGAACAATCGATTTATTTCCAACAACAAATATTTATAATCGAAATTCAGATACAAATCGAAATCATTGCAATTTAATTAAATTTTATATTTATTTATTAATAATTCCAATAATTTTAATTATTAAAATTTAAAAAAAAAAATTTTTATTTATTTTAAATATTGTAAAGCAGAATTTTTTTTTTCTCTAAATTCTATATTGCCTATAAAATAATTTTAGTTAAATTAATTTTTTTTTTAATTTAATTTTTTTATTTCCATAAATCTAATTAAAGAAACAATGCATTTTAGGGTAATAATAAAAAACAATTTTAAAAGAATTTTGTTTTTATAAATTTTAAATTAATGTAAAGAAGGAAGAAAAAAAGTATTTTAATGTTTTCTGTGATAATAGAGTTGTTAAAAAAAAAACCTAGATTAATAAGAAAATTACATTCAAAAGTAACTAAATACAAGTAAATAATCATAGCCATTAATATAATAAATATTTGAAAATAAATAATTTTGTATTTTGATCTTTAAATTTATACTATTATATAACAATATATGTAAGGAAGGATATTTTTAACTTTGAATCACATGCAATAGAACTGATTAGTGTTAAACAATTCAAAGGGTTAAGCAAAAGGAAGTCTAAGAGAGGAAGACAAGATTGTATTTTCAATTTTGTTCATGTAGAAAAAATGTATACCAATTGACTTTACTCGAATGACGAATACATAAGTCGTAACTCATAAACAACTATTTTCCATTCGTTTTTTATTCACTTAAAATTTTGTTAGATTTATTGACCATTGAAAATAGTTAGACATAGAAAATACCTTCTAATGAGTAGAATGAACATTATAATATAACAATAAAACAAGTAAAAACGTTTCAGTCGGTATAAACCAACCAAATTATATCCTGCACGTTAGCAATATGAGTTTCAAATTTGTTTTTGAAATCTCTAGAATTAGCTCTTATTGTTAAATATCAAGTATTCGTACCTGACAAACCACTCTTTAGAAACTGCATAGATATGTCTGAACTATAATTGGACACACAACTGCCAAGTTTCATGAATCTGACTTTATTATTTTTTTGAATATTTTAAATTCGCTTTTAGAGTTCCATGGCAGCTACTCAAACTTGTTAGGCCATTCCATCAAAACTTCGGAGATATGTATAGGCTGATATTGGACACACGACTGCCAAGTTTCATAAATCTAAGTCTATTATTTTCTTAAATCATTAAAATTTGCTTTTGGAGTTGTATGGCAGCTACCCGAATCTGTCAAGTCATTCCAACAAAACTTCAGGGATATATGTGACCTATAATTGGACACTGGACTACCAAATTCAGTGTATCTAACTATATTATTTTTCCAAATATTTAAAATTATCTTTTGGAGTTGTATGTAGCAGCCGTCGTTTGCGCAAAAGAAGCAACTTTTGAGTTATCGTGCGATCGGAAGGACGGAGGGATGGACGGACGGACATGTCTAAATCGACACAGAATTTTACGCTGAGCAAGATAATATATGTATATATGTCCGTATCGGAGACGACTCCTTCAAATGGTTACAAACCAAAGTGAATATACCCTTCACGAAGTGCAGGGTATAAAAACATAATAATGAGAAATTTTGGACTAAAATTAATAAAGATATTGAAAAAAAAAAAACAAAACTAACTTCAATATTATTAAATTTTGGTCTAAAAAGCTGAAAAATTTTTATAACTATAGTAACGAAAATAAAAATTACATTTTGTGAGTCATATTCGTCTAGTATAACAGTTATACCATTTACATTATAATGATTTCAAATTTTTTATATTCATCCTAAATGTATGCAATAAAATTTAGTTGTAAGCAAATAAAATGCAAGACTCGATTTTTTTTTATATTAAAAGGTTAGAAACTTTTTTTTAAATAAACTGGTGACAGGAAATATGTAGCAAATTAGAGAAAGATGTTTTAAAGATTTTTTTGGTTTTTTTAGCAAAAGCGCAAGTATAAAAGTGATGAAGAAAATTAAGAAAATTAATTTTCCATTAATTCGACTAAAATTTGAAATTCCTGCACTTACATTTTGTTCATTTTCTTTATATTGAATTTTTCAGCAACTTTTATGTATGTGACGGCTACAAAATATACGCGACTAAATGTGACAATTTTAAGAAATGCGTCTAGCAGAATAATATTATGAATGCTTTCTGTGACAACTATTGAAACGCGTGTCTAGTAGAATAGCAAATTTTTCACCCTCACCAGGAGAATAAGGCTAGAATTCTAGTAGAATAAGGCTTATTGTACCATTTTAAACTAAAAAGTGATAATAATTAACTATTTTAATTATCATTTCTTTTGATCAACTGTACAAATAAGATATTTTACAGGTAAAAAAATCAAATTATCTCATCAAATTTATTAAAAGTTTAGGCAAATGTATCTAGAGAATACTTGACTGTACCAAAACATATTTAGTGAAATGGTGAAGAAGAACTGTAAGTATATTATAAAATGTTCTTTAGTAACTACTTTCCTTACTTACTTTAATAACATCTATGTATTCTCCCTAATCGCATATTATCCATTCGTCCAATCTATTCAAATAAGACCCAGGTGAATTATAGAATTCAATTAACAAAATTTTAGATAAATCACAATATTTTTTTTTTAATCGATTTTAATTAAATATTTTTATTGATCATATTTTATTTTTATTAGTCAGTTGAATTTTTATAATTACTTTAGTATATATATGTAGATATATTTTTTCTTTAAATTTTCTTTCTTCATTTTTTTTTTTTAAATTTTTTTTTTCTTGAATTTTAATTTTAATTTTATACCCTATTTAATATTATAAAAAAAATCTCTAATTTATATTTTCTTTTTAATTAATTATTTAAACTATTTTCCATAAATAATATATAATACATTATTATTATAATTTTTTATTTATTTCAAAAACTTAAAAAAACAATGAAATTATATTGGAAAACTAATATAAGTATATAAGAAAGTAAGTATTAGCAATATAAATTATAATAATATAATTTTAATTTATAAAAAAATTAAAATTATAATGAAATTTTAATAGATTTTATAAAATATAAACTAACATTTTTTTAATTAAAATTAAATAATAATAAAAACAATTGTTTAGCCTTCTTATGAATATACAATTAAAAAACGAGCATAAAACTAAATTTGATTAAACATAATCTCAGAAATACACAGATTTTTTTTTTGTTTTATTTTTTTTTTTTTGTTAATTAACACTTATAATTTATGTTTTTCTAAATTAATTTAGAAAATTAAAATTATAATAATTTTTAACTATTTTATGAAATATTAATTAATTTTCATTTTCTAATTATGTGTTTTTCCATGACATATTCTAATTTTTATATTTAAAATTTTAGATGTTTTAAATAAAAATTATTAAATTTTGTACAAAATACTTTATAATGTTAAAGTTTCCATCTATGTTTTTTCTAAAATAAAATATTAAACTATAGTTTTATTGCAAAAATTAAATTGTTATAAAACAAAAACAGAATTAAAAAATTTATTAAATTTTTATTGCAATTTCATAAAAAACAAAAGTGGCCCATAAACAAAAATATATCTAATTATATTATTTCACTAAATAGCATAGCAATTTAATTTGAATATATATGTACATACATATATATATATATATATATATATATTGCACAAATCAATTATAAAAAAATTGTTGTTTCTTTTCTTTGCACAAAAATTATTTATTATTTTATTATTTTATTTTTCAAATTTATATATATATACATATAGTTATATATTTCTTTTTCTTATTGTACATATACATACATTCTTTTTCTTATTTAATCGTATATTTAATTACATATATATATATTTGCATAATTAAGTAAATATATATAATACATATAATACAATTTTAATTTTTAATTACACTTCAATTGAATTTTTAATATTATTTTTTCTATATGTTTTTTTTTGCATTTTTGCATTTTATAATAATTATTTTTTGTTAATATTAATGTATACCATTCAACAATGTATGTATGTATATATGATAATGTGACAAGAATTTTGGGGCGGAAAAATTTTCATTTCGAAATTCAAGAAAAGAATAATCTTCAAATTAAATAAAAGTAAATGTATTATAAACAACTATGTATAATCATGTTAATTCCTCAATTTTTTTTCCAATACTAGTTTCGAGAACATATTATCAATTTCGTATTATATATATATATATATATATATATATATATATATATGTATCTTTTCCTAAAATTTGTTGAAAAATCGGTTTTATATGGAATTAAATTTCCTTATTAATCTTTGATAATAGTAAGTATAATTGCTCTCCTGATTATTAAATATTAATTTAAAAATTAGTGCTCGAAAAAAATTAGTTAAATATTTTTCGCTCAATTAAAACCATCAAATTCGATTGGATTGGATATTATACGATACTAGCGTTTGTATCAAATTTATAATTTTATTTTTCAATATTAAATTATGAATTTAATATGTTTAGAAATTTATGACATTAATATAACAATATTAGTATTTAATTTCTATTTAAGATAGATAATTAATTATAATACATTATAATTCATTATAATGAAACTTGTTCAGGATAGCTTATCATTGTAATATAAATGTGGCAGCATAAAATTGAAAGAAATGTATCAATTATAATAATTTTTTTACAGGAGAAAAAAAATATACAATAATATTGTAAATATTTTATTATTACATATTATATAGAAAAAAAAATTTTGTTTTGAATTATTAAAATATAAATTAGCAGGAAATTATGGCTAATGTAGTCATAATTTAATATTGAATATAACGACAGCACAAAATTAATGATAGTTTAACTTAAGAAGGTTATAAATTCCATTTTTATTTGTTAATAATCTTAATGTAAGTGATTATCCGTGAATAAACACAGAATGCAATTTTATAATAATAATAATTAAATTAAAAAATTGTGCGTGTATCTTTATAAAAAGCAAATATTAGTAATATTTTATTTACATTGATAATCTATTTATGATTCTAAAATTTATCTAAATTTACTTCATTGTTAAAATTCAATTTAAGCTTAAAATCAATTAAATTTAAGAATAATAAAATTAAATTTTAA